GTAGTCTTGGAAACAAAAAACAAAACAAAATAAAGCAAAAAAATCCTGAATCTGATCAAGCCCCTATTGTCTGATTGACCCAGCTTGCATCAGTTGGCTATGACCAGGGGACAGGGAGACAGCAAAGACAGGACCCTGGGAGGCAGTGTGAGCTGGGCTGCCATCTCTGTTGTGTCTGCTGCAGATACTTAACTCCGATGTAGCCTTTCTGATACGTTGTTTGCACTTAAAAAAGAAAACAAACTTTTCCGTGCTATCTAGTTCACAACAGCATTCCTAGGCCCATTCATACATACCTGGTACCTAGGTGGTGCCCAGTGATAGCTTCCTTTTAAATTGAGGACAAAAAGTGTGGACTCTAAGGGTTTGCTGTCATTAAGATTCCTCTTGACAGCTGTGGCCTCGTGTAAAGGCATTTCCTCCTTTTTAAAATATTTTACTTCCTTTCTCCTGGCAGGCTCTGAATTAGCCTGGGTTTCCCAAAAAGTAGACCCTGTTTCCCCAAAGGTAAAAACAGAGCCCAGGTTTCCACAAAAGCAAAGGCTTATGTAACAGGAGTTCATTTTCAAGTGTGGTCCCAGAAGGCAGGTGGGAGACTAAAGTGAAATACTGAAGATGGGAGAGGCAATACAAATATTATCAAGCTGGCCATGATACAAGCAACCAGTTCAGTCCCACAGAATATTCTGAGAAGCCTTATGAAATATGTCTCAGAACCCCCCAGAAGGATCCAGAATAATGGAGGAAGCATTTATCCTTGGGCTTCTATTGCCAGTTCATTAAGCTTTGGCCTGTGAGCCTTTATCTTCCCTGGACTTCTGGATCTCTCTGGTTTGAGGTAAGAAGCAAGGGTTACTACATACAGCAATAGCTGTGGTATTTTACGTGGCACGTGAGATATCCCACATAGGCTTTTATTTAAAGATCTCATGGAAGGTACCGTTCTTTGGTGTCCATTAAAAATCAAGCAACTTGTAACCTCTCAGAAGTGTAAGCAATTTACAGTTATCCTCCACCATTACTTTCCTCATTTTTGGTGTCTTGAATCTTTAGCTCTTTTCCTTACCCTCTATTTTGAACAGGTCAGTCTCATTTATGCCTTCATACCTATAAGTTCCACCTACTTAAAATGCTTCTAGACCATTTCAGAACCCTGAAAAGCTACTTTATGACCCTTTCAATGATAGCTTGTGTGAAAATGGCTGTTTCAGTGATAGCACAGTATACAGTAATACTTTTGTCTCTGACCTCTTGGTAGCTAGTAAATCTGAAGTTTAAATTACCTTGCTGGTTATAACTTAGAAGATTTTGCAATTTGATTAATTTCACTTTTCAAATGGCGTAACCCATATGTAAGTGTGTATGTTTGTTTGTTTGTGCCAAAGTTGATAGCATCTCCAAGATTATAACTTCTGAGTGGCTCAGACTAAGTCATTTTCTCTCAAGTGTTTCTTTAACATGGCTCTACCTCACATATCCTTTTTTTTTCTTACCTGTCCTCATGATTCATAGGTACTTCTGCCCTTCAGGTGCTTCTGTAAAATTTCAAAATGAAGTAATTTTAGCAAAGTGTGGTAAACCATTCTTCTTTAGTTCCATAATATGTTAATGTTGTCTGTATTTAGAAACCTCAAATAACATCTTATGTCACTTGCATTTTATTTATTGGAACTTAATGTACATATCCCTTTTTCTTTTTCATTTTATTCATCTACTTGGTGCAATTAATGATTTTAAGTTTCTATGGTTATTGCTTTGCTACATTTAAATATGCTTAATAAATTACTGTAATTTAAAAATCATTGCTGCCTCTCTGGGCAGTAATGTTACTTGTATGATAATAACATGATATATTAAAATTTGTTTAGTGTAATTCATTATCCAAGCTATGTAGGTAAATCGTGTCTGTATTAGGTAAGTAGACAATTGAGCTACTTTTCATAAATGAAATATTCTTAAATTAAATATTTNACATGTTATCCATTCCACATGATCTATTTCTACATAAAGATAGAAAATTACTTCAAAAGTGTTCTTGTTAAGAATTTTGGTAATATTAAAGATTAGAGAGCCTTGTCTTACAAAAAATATGTATGTTTTTATTATGGAAAATTTCAAGCTGCACAAAGAAATGCACTTCAGGGAATATATTGTCAAATAAACAAGAGGTTTTACTTTGTTTTAAATCCTTTTTCTTGGCGGCCTTTTGCCTTTCTCACTGTATTTGCAGAAGATCAAAATAATTTAACTACTGAACTGTTCACATTTTATTTTTTATAACTTAGTATTTCCTTCTATTTCCCATCTTCCTCTTGATCTTTTAATATCTTTTTTTCTCTTGTTTGCTAGGGATTAATTTTTCTCTCCGTGTATAACTTATAGTCATTTTGGGTTACTATGGTGGTAATGACTGGTGAAAGTTACAGCTGGTCAACTGTAGTCTTTCCTCTTGATGAATTTAACAGACACAGGACTTCTGATTGAAGCAGATGGTTCATTGTTTGTAATCTCTGGGAAATGCCAGTGTGTCTGCTAGCAGGACCATATCCTTTATACCAACTCCAGAATTTATATCAGAACAGCTGTTTTTGAATTGAATTGGGATTTTTTAAGAGCACCCACGTCCTTCCTATCTAATGCATTAGCCTGTTGAGAAGATACCCTACCATTAGAATATGGTCTTTCATTACATCTGCCAAGTGTGGAAATGATGCTTTCAGTGAAGGTTTTCTGAGCAAATATCTTACAGATGAAGGATTTAGTAGTGCGTTAGAATAACATGCTAACCCCCTTCGCTATGTTCCAATTGTAGAAACGAGAGTTCATTTGGAGAACTCAAAACCGACTTTAATTTCCTTCAACATGTTGGCACTGTCGTGTAATTTGTCTTAAGAATTCTGCACTCAGAGAAGTTAGAAAAACAAATGAAAAGAATTGGTGCCAGACAGCAGTAATAAAAACAGTAACAAATTGTATTTTGTTTAGTTGCAAAAGGAAAAAGGCAGTTGAATAGTTTAACCCTCTGAGTTGTATACATTTCTTCTCCTTAAGGCCTAATAGGTTTAGAGAAAAATATTTTATTGTTGAAGCTTCTTGTATAGCTTAAAATTATCCTTTGGATTGTATATTATTGTAATATCATATAATGGCTTTTTTAAACAGATCAAAGATTTGATACAGGCAACGGAAGTGATGCTGTTTATCGAGGAAGTATATGTAAGCCTTTTGCGTCATCCTGTTTTCTGGAAAATTCAGCTTACACAGCTGACCCTTCAGTTGCTGTGTGTCTGTGAAGTCAGCTTAAAGATAACTGGGGAATGTTCATCTTTAATTCACCTTTTAGAACTCAGTGTTGAACTTCTGAAGGAGGTAAGGATGGCAAGAAATTTTAATGTGTCGGTTGTCACTTAAGTGGGTCTTTCAGTTGCTGGGTGGGTGTATTCTTTCACTTTATCATATCTAAGGTGTTTTGATCTAATACAATTAGCTCATACTAATGTACAATTACTACTAATATAATTTATTATAAAAATGAATCAATAACTACTCTTTGGAGCATCAGTTAAGGATCTACCACTGTGGTATTTTTTTTTCATTTATTTGTGTAGAATCCAAGTAATGAACATTTATTATATGCCAGACCCTATAGAATTTATAGATGACAAGGTCACATCCTGTGACCTCAAGGGATTTACAGGAATGCAAATAAAAATTTTTAGTACAATAAGGTAAATGATTTTATGGGAGTATATTTAAAGTGCAGTGGGAGTACAATTAAGGGAAGTAGGGCATAAGTTCAGATTTGAGGAAGTCTAAATAGGAGGTTGGGAAGGCATTCCAGCTGCAGGAACAGCATATGTCGAGACCCAGACACAGGAGAGAGCATGACCTGTTCAGGACACAAGAAGGTGTTGAGAATTGTTGAAAGATTAAGGTGCAGGAGATAAGACCTAGACTTGAGTTGACATGTTATCTTCTAGGTAATGACATGCTATTGAAGACCTTTTAGTAGAGAGGTGCCCTCATATTTTGTGTGTGGAAGATCATTCTGATGGGAGAGTAGAGGAGGGTTTAGAGCAGGGAACACTAATAGAACAGGACTTGAGGAGGGATGTCTTAGTCCGCTAGAGCTGCCATAACAGCATACCATAGACTGAGTGGCTTAAACAAGAGAACTTTATGTCTCACCGTTCTGGAGACTAGGAAGTCCAAGATCAGGGTGGTGGCTGATTTGATCCTCAGCGAGGGTTGTCTTTCTGACTTGTAGACAGGTGCCATCTTGCTGCATCTGTACTTGGTGGAGAGAGAGCAAGAGTGAGCTCTCTATTGTTTCTTCTTATAACGACACTAATACTACTAGGATAGCACCTTCACTGTGATGGTCTCATTTAACTTTAATTCTTTACTCCAAAACAGTCACATTGGCAGTTAGGTCTCCAACATGTGAATTTGGGGTTGGGAGGACACAATTCAGTCCATAGTGAGGGGCTAATTGAGAAAACGAGAATGGGAAAAGAGACATATAGGAGATGTAATCAATAGGGCTTTGTGGTTGATTACATGGTCAAGGAGAGGGTCCTTGGTAAAGTTTCAGCTTTCTATTTGAGACAACTGGATAGTGCCATTCACTTTGAGAAAGGGTAGCTGATGTCGGAAGGAGGATGATAAATTTGCTTCAAGATATACTTGGTTTAAGGTATGTATAGATCATAAATATTTGGCTCTATGGTTTTAAAATTCTGAATAGAAGCCTAGGCTAAAGGCATAGATTTGTAGACATTTACTTTGGGGAAGGAGTTTTAACGATGGGATTGTATGACAGGGCTTGCGATGGGATTCCGGGGGCTGTTGATATTTGGAGGGTACTGATAAAAGAGGAGTCTGTGAAAGTATGGCTAGGAGGATTGTATGGCAAGTAGAAGAGACAGATGACTTGAAAATCAAGAGAAGGAATATCTAAAAAGGGGAACGGTCAACAGTGTCATGGAGTGAGGATTTAAAGTAAGAGATTGAAAACACTCTTGTACAGCAATTAGTTTATTGTTCACATTAGAGGAAGTGGTTTCAATGGAGTGATGGTGGTAGGAACCAAATTGGATTGAGGGAGTGAATGGCAGGTGAAGAAATGGAGAGAGTGAATGTATTTTGGTGAAAGGTAAGAGGTGATGAAGGCTGAAGTAAGTCATTTGTCAGTTTGTCAATCTTGTAATTAGAGTGGTTTCACATATGCAGGGACTCTATAAACAATATTATTTTATATAGTATTATGTAATGATACATTATATTTGTTACATATAATATATATATTATCTATTTATAATAGTAATATGCATTAATAATATATAGTGTAGTAATATGTATCTGATATATAGTATCTATTATATATTTTATCAATATTTATAGTGTAATAAAATAATATCAAACCCCTTCAGATTATATGTAATTATACATATTTGGTATACAATAGATGATGTATATATGATATGTAATATTATATAGATAATATGTAGAAAACTATAGACAGATAATACTTTATGGATAAATATTAGATCGAGAATATTATATAGCTAAATTTCCAGGAGTTGTGTGCTTTAATTGTACCTCATATTGTTCCTGTGTGCTGTACTAGATTCTGTAGACATAATTATATTTATAATTTTGTAGCGTTTAGGCCCTTTTACTATCATTCTCTGACCATCTTATTGTATACCCTCCCATACACAGTTAGCACATATTTATTAAGCAGCTTCCTATGGAAAACACTTTGCTACAGCAGTTGTGTGAAAACAGACAAGGTTTGTGAAGCTTACATTCCATTCCAGTCAAATGGTTCAAACTAGTGTGCACAAAAATCACTAAGTAGAGTTTATTAAAATGCAAATGCCTGGGGCCTATCCCTAGAGAGACTGAATTAGGAGGCTGAGTAGGGCTTAAGCCTCTGCATTTCAAACTAGCACTCTTAGATGATTTTCCTTTTTTTTTTGCATATAAGGCAAACACCCTAGTAAGCATCACACAGATCAAGAAACCGAACCTTTCTAGCCACCACAGAAGTTTTCCACAAGCCCAGTCCTAATCACAGTCTTCTCTGTGCAGACCACTATTGTAATATCTCTTTTGCATTTAAATAGTCTTATCAACCAAATGTGTATGCCTACACATCATAATAAAGTTTTGGTGTGTGCGTGTGTGATCTTTTTGGTATCTCTTAAACTAAAGGTGGTCCCCTCTCATCCTCCCCCCTCACTGCTTTTCTTCCTTGCAGTGTATGTATTGAAAAACCTGACTTGTGTGAGCCATAGACTTTTCTGTATTCTGAATTCTGCGGACTGTATCTTCATGGGTCACTTCGCCATGTTTCTCTAACTCCTAAGGAATTAATGAAACTAGGCATTGAGCATCAACAGCTATTAGCATCATAAAAAGAAGTGCAACACACATTATGTGCTGCTTTTTATTTATTTTGTATTTTTTTTCAGTTTCAGGTGTACAAAACAATATAGTGATTAGACATTTATATACTTCACAAAGTGATCACCAATAACTCTATTACCCAGCTGACACCATACATAGTTGTTACAATATTATTGACTATATTCCCTATGCTGTATTTTACATCCCTGTACATTATGTGCTTTTTTTTTTT